ATATATATATATATATATATATATATATATATATATATACATACATAGTGTATTCAGAGTGCAAATATAAACAGGAAGTGTTTTGTGTGATTCTGTCAGCATGAAATGTACAGTATTGTTTTGTAGAAACAAGGCAAGAATAAAAGGTGCCATATGATCAAGAAATGTTTGAATTTATTGTTAAAGGCTGAGCATTCTTTGAAGGAATGTGTATCACCTGACACCTTTCATGCCAGAGTTTTAGACCATTTTACCTGAATAAACGACAGAGTTACAGTATAGCCATTACGTTTAAACTTTGAGAAAAAAAAACATTATACACAATCTCATCAATATAACAAGACATAGTGGTCCAGCTAATCAAGTCTGAGCAGCTTATCTGTAAAATGTAATGTTATAGATACGTTTGTGTTTTCTAATGTTATATGGCTGTCGTGGCCATCTTGACTTGGGTTGGCTCCAAAAGTTAATCAATTATTTAGCTACATCCATTTATTATTCCCTGAAACTTCAGTTAAAATCCATGGAGTGCTTAATGTGATATTTTAGTAACACACACATAAACTCGAACAAAAACTTTGTTTGCCTTTGCCTTTCATCTTCGGATAACATTAAACCAGAGAAAACAAAATCGACTAAAACACATCGTATCTGATGACATCTCCATACTGCACCCAAGAGCTGATTAGAATTTCCAGTTGCTGCGTTCACGCCTTGGATATTGAAATGCAGATATACTGTTTGTGTCCCTTGTGCATTTATAAAATATTAAAAACATTGGCCCATCATTAAAACATCCAAATCCATATATACGCAGAAAATTAATTCAGCATCTTGAAATGTACTGTTTTGATGGGTAGAAGATAAAAGTAGACATAAAATTTAATCAGAACAGCTTTATGTCCGATTTTATGTCCTGTAGCAGCGCGAAAACTGGTTTGAGCTCTTAATCAGGCTTTAGGACGTGTTTCAAATAAACTTGTACTTGGTAACAGTTTAGCTGTTACTCTGATTTTTGTTTACATGGAAATAAACAGAACTAGTGCAAAACAAATATTTTATTACGCCTGAGGGACTGAAGCTTTATTCACGGTAGCATCAGAAAATTGATCTCTCAAAGACTTGCAGCAGATTTTCTTGTTTGTATTTACTCATTTCTCCCAGCAGTACTCTAATGTGGGAGAACAAATTATTCAGATATAATAGCTGAAGTAACCAACCTGTTCTTGGTCATAAATCAAAGGTCTGTTTCTAAATTACACCAGACATTTAACAGTAATACCGTGTTCTTGGTTGTATTTCGGCTCACAGGGAGTGTTGCAGGTTTTTCGGGGACGACGGGCTGACACCCAAGGTGTTTTTCACTAAGGTGGCTCCCTTTGGCCTGCTGTGGATCCTCACCAACTACCTGTACCTGCAGGCCCTCAGGAAGATCAACACAACAGACGTGTCAGCACTGTTCTGTTGCAACAAAGCCTTCGTCTTTCTGCTTTCATGGATTGTACTCAGAGACCGCTTTATGGGAGTCAGGGTGAGTTTCTGCAACTCTTTGTGATGTGTGTCATCAGCAGTTTTCTACGGTGGCCCTCAGGTGTAAATGAACAACATTTGAAAAAACAGAATTACATTTAAAAAACAGAATTACATTAAGCCAAAGTGGAAGTGGCCAAAGTGGAAGTGGCCAAAGCGGAAGTGGCCAAAGCAGAAGTGGCCGGAACCACATTTGGAAAAAATGGAATTACATTAAGCCAAACCACCTCAGGGTCACTGTAGTTTTATGTTAATAATGTAAAAAAATAAAATAAGTAAAAAAATAAAATAAACCACTAACCCCCACCCCCCACCACCACCACTTCTGGTTTGGCTTAATATAATTCCATTTTTTCAAATATAATTCCATTTTTTCCAAATGTGATTCCAGCCACTTCCACTTTGGCCACTTCTGCTTTGGCTTAATGTTTCTGTTTTTTCAAATGTAATTTCATTTTTTCAAATCTAATGCTGTTTTTTTCAAATGTTCATTTACACCTCAGGGCCACCATAGTTTTGTGCTTTCTTTGTATATTTAGCTGGCGGTCCAACTCATACAGAGGCAACACACGCCCTCCTGCCTTGTCATTTTCAACATACTTTTGGAAAAATCCATGTACAGTAAATAGCACTACAATAAGTCCATACCTACATAACCATCAGAGGAAGATCCTCCCCCAATATTTGCCTCGTGGATGATATTGACCTGACGGGAAATAAGGACACGGAGCTCCAGGAACTCAACATTAAATTGGAAAAGGTAGCTATGGGTGGTGGCTTTTCCCTTAGGAGGTGGTAAAATGTGTAAAAGAAAAATGTGTATAATAAAAATTTTTAAGTAAGAATGGAACATTAAGTATAGCAATAACAAGAATTGTAACAGAAATAAAAGCAGTAATGTGTTTAGGGGGAGGGGGCAGTTGTTTATTTGCTTCCTGAGTGAGGCTCACACTTTGAAAGCCCCTGAGCATATGGTATGGATTTAAAAGGGCAAACACTGGAAGAAGTAAAATACTTCAAGTAGAAGTCTTTTAGATTTGTAGAACATCATGAACCATGACGAGACTTGCCAGTGTTTGGAAAGGCAACTCTATCAGCTTCCCTGTGAAGGTCAGTCTTTATAAATACTCTCCACCCTACGGTGTGTATGTGAGAGCGGGATGCTCACAGCAGATACTGTGTGGAAGATAGAGTTCTTTGAAAATTACTGTTACAAGAAGATGCTGCATATATCTTACAGAAACCATAGTTGCCACCCACGCTGGAGAACAAGAACCACTACTCTTAATGGTAAAATGTTGCAAACTGATCTGGTATGGTCATATTACAAGGCAACCACAGGAAACAGAAAATGGAGGGGGTGGGGGTGAAGAATTGGACAGAGGAGGATCTGGTTGAATAACTTAAAATGTTGCAGAAATATGTGTTATTTCCTCTTATGCTGTGTGTGGCATTTCCTTACTGCTTGGGTTTGTGTTGTCAATCCCATTGAGGAATAGAAAACATGTTTTAGTCTTTTATTAGTTGCTTTTGCAGTATTCCCACCACGACATGACCTGATTACCACCACCTACCTATAGCTGTGCCTCTCATTGCTTTTGGACAACATAAGTATTTTGTAACAACAAAAAAGGTTGAATCATGTCATCTGGACTTCGTTTTTTTTTGTTAAAAAGAAACGTTTCGCCCCTCATCCAAGAGGCTTCGTCAGTCTGAGGCTGATAAGTATTTTGTATTTTTTCTAAAGCTCCTATGTTCAGTAGTGAAATACAGCACAGAACACAAACCATTTGTGAAGCTCTGATTTAGTTGGTTTGTGTGAGTTACCCACACAGTGATAGAGAGGTTTACTCTGTGACAGTGTGGTCAGCCTCCCATGATCACCTGTCAATCCGTTTGCCTGGATGAGACGAGACACCCAGAAAGGTGAGGACTCCAGACTGAGCTCCTCCTCCTCTCCTCCCGCTGCACGCCTCTGATGCGTTCACATCTACAGCTGTTCTGCACTCTGCCGAATGGATTTCCCCTTCATTTGCCCACACGCTGACAACCCCCTCCCCACCACCACACACTTATATCGCTCCCTTGTGCGTGCCCCAACTACCCACCCCCATTATTTGTAATGAAAGGCTTCAGTAAGCGACAGGCACTGTAAAAATGCTGCATCTCTGCCTCTTGTAAGCCCTGTCACTCGCTCCGGCGCTTGGTAGAGACTGCAGTATTTGAAAGTCTGCGGCAATGCGGGGGATCTTAAATGAGATTTCCATGAAAGCGAAGAAGAAAGAAAAATAGGGAAGAGGCTAAACACCCTTGTTAAACAAGCACAAGGGGGTGTTATTGTGTTTGAAAAGATGTGTGTGTAACTTATTGGGTCAGTTTAGTAGCAGCAGCAGCAAAGTGATAAAAGCATTACTCATATTGCACTAGAAAACATCCCAAGAAGCCTTTTGGATGTCATTTGTATTCATGAGCTGCCTTATTGCCATACTAAAGTAATGGCACTGAGTAATGCAGAATGCAGTCTTGTCCCAAACAGTTTGCACCTAATTTGGAAAAGTTTCAACACTCCAACTGTGGTAAAGCATCTCTCATTGCTGGTCCTGCAAGCAAGCCGGTGTTCACTGAAATGGAAGGTTTCAGGTGTGACTGACAGGCAGGCTGCAGTGCAGAAAGAGCAATTTTGCCAAAAGTGCCTCAGGGCTTTGGCCAAGAAAAAAGAACACATGGTTCATTTATCTTCCTGACACCTCTTTAATGCAGAGCTAATCCACTCAGCTGGACTGCGTCACGTGCTCATCGCTATTTCTCAACCAACACCCCCACCCACCATTTTGCAACTGCAAAATGAACACATGCACATACAAACACACGAGCAGAGCAAGTGACAGGTTTAGTTTTATTGCATCCAGGTCGACTACGAGCAGCATGAAACAGATGATCTGGTGTCATCTCGAAGCCATGATAATCGCTGAGGCAGGGAGTGGGAGTGATAAGTGGGGCTGCTGGATCAAGATGGAGTATTTGTTTTGTAAACATGATGGCAGCGTAACGGAAATCAATGTCAGACAATCAAGTCAAACGGCTCGTGCCATGGTGGAAGCAGTTGCGCTCTGAACCTGAGAGCAGATTTCCCATGAAGCACGCCTGTTTGTATTGGACAAACTCCAAATGAGCTGCTTTCTAGTTCCAAACTTGAACTCAGGCTATAATGTTGCAATCTTTATTCCTGTGTGTCTTGTTATCATGACTTTGAAAAGCAAAGTGGAGGTCATGTGAACCTGCTGTGGCCCCACGCAGCAGGAAAGGACTTATTGTCTTAATGACCAGACGGCAAGCAGTGTGTCGCCCATCCATCATTCACCGATGTCCTTTCTCTCCACAGATAGTAGCAGCTATCTTGGCCATAGCAGGCATTGTCATGATGACCTATGCTGATGGATTTCACAGCCACTCTGTCATCGGCATCACTTTGGTCGTGGCCTCGGCTTCAATGTCAGCACTCTACAAGGTATTTGTTACCATCCCATACAAAAACACATCATTACCAGGTACAATGTGGTATTACGTTGCTTTCAGCCACAGTAAAACATGTTTATAAAAGCCAAACATGCATATATGTATGACTATTCTTGACTTATATAAGACATACTGGACCAAATTGGTTCTAGTTATGTAATCAGGTGAAAGAAGAAAGGGGAGTCTGATGAAATATAAGCCTCAGCTGAAAGAGGTGTGTTATATAGGAATTAGACTTGTGTCTTTAGGTGGAAATATCCAGATCAAAGGAGGCAAATAGCCACATTTTGACTAGGTTTGTTCTCCTCTGCCCCCTGTCTTTGCTACCTAATGTGACAAACAGGCAGCAGTGGCTACAAGCCATAGATTTGGCAGGTACTTGGCAGGCCAACCTCCTGTAATAACCCTCAACTTTGTAAGGGGGTGGATTTTTCACATTCATCTATCTCCTTTTCCCTTTATCCCCAGGTGCTCTTCAAGATGGTGCTGGGCAGTGCCAAATTTGGAGAGGCAGCACTCTTCCTGAGCATTGTCGGAAGCGCCAACTTTGTTTTCATCAGCTTTGTGCCAGTCATCCTGTATTTTACACATGTGGAGTACATTGGCTCACTTGAAGACATCCCCTGGGCGTATCTCTGTGGGGTTGCGGCCTTGCTTTTCGGTAAATGAAGATGATAAAACAGTTGGTTTTACGATCCATATAATGCTCAAATTTTACAATGACTTTCTTACTCTGAGACTTGCTGCTGCTCTGATTATGTTTCTCTTTACAGCTTTCAACATCCTGGTGAACTTTGGCATTGCAATAACGTACCCAACATTAATTTCTTTTGGCATTGTCCTAAGTGTCCCTGTGAATGCATGTAAGTCTCTTCTGACTTTTAAGCATGGTTAAATTTAATATTGTATGGCCTTGGAATCAGCTCAGGGAGTGGTGGTGCAGAGGTTAGAGAAGGTGGGCCTGTGACTGGAAGGTCGCCCGTTCAACTTCCAGGACCGACAACATCAAAATGTGGGTGAAAAAGGTGAAACACCCACACCTGCCTCCACCTTCATTTGCCCCACTCTGGGCCCTTGAGCAAGGTCCTTAACCCCCACCATCTGCTCCCACAGACGACCTAGATGGCAACTCTGCTCCACACAGAGGGCTGTGGTAGCTCCGTGGTTGTGTCAGGAAGGACATCCAGCGTAAAAACAATTGCAAAGTCTTTGTGCAACTTAGTTCAACTGTGGCGACCCCTGAAGAAGGGAATAGCCAAATGAAGAAAAATAAGGCTTTGGATCAGCCCATGGAAAATTAACTTAATTACCAAAACAGACAATATTAAAACCAAAGTATTAACATAGAATACTTCATTTAAAATGTAGAGTAATAGATGGCCTTAAAAACCTTTTAAACTATCTTCAGTAATCTGCAGTATACGAGATTATTTAATCATTTACCACTGTCTTCAGTGACTTTAAATCACAGTAAAGGAAATATTATTCTTACTTTATATGTACTGAAATAAATAGTTAAATTTAAAGTATATTCATCCGTCATCTTTACCAGCTTCAGCTATGTGGAAAAACAGTTGCACACGCATTTTCAGTAAAACGTCAGAATTTTTTTCCAACACTAAATTGTGGTTGATACTGTCCGTCCCTTTTTTGAATGTCCAGAGGACCAGATTTAACTTTTATAGATTTTTCTACCTGGATTATTGAGCATGCATCAGAATGTCTGTCCCTTAGTTTTATTGTTGAAAGAAGCACATAATCTGTAATATTTTGCTTCTTATTAGCAGCTATGGCAATTTGCTGCTGTGGCATACCTAGCTGTTAGAAATTTCAAAACACCACTTTAATTTAAGTTGGGCTTTGTTTTTAATTTATTTATTTTTTGTTTTGTGCCGTATAATTCATCACTAAGACTGACTCCAACAAGGCATATTTTCTTTTTTTCTTGGGCAGCATTAAGACTTCATTCTACCTCCTACAACCACACTTGTTAGCCATTTTCTTAACAATAGGCTCCACCTGGTGCTGCAGCTAAGTATTACAGCAGTTTCTATCAGAAACCCCAAGGTTAGGGGTTTGCATCCTGTAACTCAAAGTACTATATGTGAATAACAATGCTCACAAATTTCTCTGTTTGTGTGCTAATGCTAACACTTCCCTGTGCTTTGACAGTGGTGGACTTCTTCACGTGTGAGATCCATTTTAACACCGTGCGCCTCATTGCTGTGTTCATCATCTGTCTGGGTTTCCTCATGCTACTGTTACCAGAGGACTGGGACCAGTGCATCATTCAGCTCAGTATGAAGTTGCGCAAACGGGACGAGCCTGCCGAGGGCAATGGGGAGGCCGGCGTCACTACTGGACTCAACTGGAGAGGAAGAGGCAGAACCTCCCTGTCAACATTTGCACATTGACTTCATTCCATAAAGAGGGAGGCTCATTAACAAATTCAATATGCCTGGTACTTTTAGTTTTGCACAGCTCACGCTCATTTAGACTGACCCGTGATCAGTAATTCAGCCATGAGGGAATCATGATGGCTGCTCAGATTGCGTAGCACTCATTTGACATCCATTCTGCTCTGAACTTGTTTAAACTTAACCATGACCACCTGCCTTTTGTGCACTAAACATAGTTCTTTTTCACACTTTAGATGTCCTGAAGCTGTGAATCAGCTGCTCTTATTTGGTGTGAAGGAATCTGTCTGGACGTCTGAGGATCAATGTGAGCTAAAAATAATCTTTTCATGGCGCCTTTCTCCTTTTATCTTGGAAAACAGAGGTGGCGTTCTTTGCAACCAAACTGTTTGGCCTTTGGTTGTGACTACGTGCTTCCCTGGAGCTTAACTTTCATTTTTAGTACTCACTCATTGATAAAATTCTCTAATGAGATGGTTAAACCAGTATCTCCTATTTTAATGCATGACATGGGTGATGTTTGTATCACAATTTTAAACCTAATGCTTCAGAAGTCCCAACCTTTCGATGGGTCAGAAGCATATAACAAAACTTACAAGTGAAATGAACACTTCTTGAATTATTTGAACATGAATAATAGCCATCACTTAGCCTTCCTATTGACTTCATGTCACATTTAATCCTCTAGACGTATATGCACATCAATTAAACGAAGACAACAGAAGGAGGAAAATGGTCACTTCTCTGGCTTTTCTTGAAAATAATAAAAGCTGACTGTATTTATTTTCATTTATCCCGTTTCTGAGGCGGGTTACAACCAAGACGAACTGGAGAGCAACTGAAACTCTGCCTTATGAATGTATGAACATCACTCCACCACACATGCTCGCCTCGTGCTGGCTGTTTCAAACAGTGCCACAGACTTCTGCAGACTGAAACATTTGAATGAGCTGCTTTTTTGTGGGGTGGAAGGGGTACAATTTCTTTATGCATTGTGTGGGAGGGGGGATTTTTATAGTTTTTGCATTTTTTGCTGACAAACTTCCAGACGGAAAGTGACTGATGTCCACTGAACGAGCATGCACTTACCTTACGAGCAGATACAACCGAAATGTCCACTTCACTGCCTTTTTTTCTTTTATTTGCAATAGACTATATTAGCACTGTTTCCCATTGTCATTCTTTATGACAATAAATATTATTGTATTCCTCTGGAATTATCGCAAGACATAAATGTAAACCTTTGTAAGGAATGATGATTTTTACACTGAGACGCAACATATGATTACCACATTTAAAGAACATTCAGAGCGTGAATAAAATGGGTTTATTGGACCTACTGTTGGGTGGCTTCAAGTGTAATCACATGTTCTGTATAAAAAGATTTCTTTTCAATACATTTTCTCGTGAAGGTTTGTGTTTCAATCTTTTTTATTATTAATTAATTATTTTAATTAATTAAATAAAGGGTAAGTGTGAGCGAGAGCCTGCTAACATATGGGCCTGATTATCTGTAAATGTGAGCACTTTAAAGTTTTGACAGTTTGTTGGTCTAGCTCATACTGTATGTGTCAAACTCAAGGCCCAGGGTCCAAATGTGGCCCTCGTTGACATCTTATCTGGCACCCAAGATGTTATTTTAAATGTAAAATACTTTTATCACTTTAATTTTTTCAGTGATCTTTGATTGTGATGTCAAAAGTGCAACAGAGAACATCAAATCAGACCAATCAAATTCTTGTTGAGGAACCTGCAACCAAGAAAAGATGTTTGGTTTGTAACTTGAGCTAATGTAGATTCTGAAACTGGCCCTTAGTTTGAAAAAGGTTTTAATTTTGCCCCCCTTTTGTAAGTGGGTTTGACACCCCTGGAGCTGAATAACATTAAAACACGCTTCGGATGTTATCATCCATTAAATAGCCGTTATTAGTTGTCATCATCCCCATACATAGCGTTCAGACTGCCCCTCCTCTACCTCCTAGTAGGTTTAAACATACACTATTATTGCTGATAATACAGGCACGTGGTTAGGTTAAGAGTCAAGGGTCTGGGGGTTAGGTTTAGGGTTAGGTTTAGGCTCAAGGGTAAGGGGGTTACATTTAGGGTCAGCGGTAAGGTTAGGTTTAGGAAAAGGGTTACATAAAGCTAACTAAAATACACTTCCAGTTTTACACGTGAGCCATGATGCATATTATCACCCATAAAAACGTAACATTAAACTTACTAGGAGGTAGGAGGAACTAGTCTGACTGCTAACTTTGGGGATGATAACAACTAATAATGTCCATTTAATGGACTGATAACATCGGAACCCACTGATTAAAACAACATCTTGGTGTTTTGTGCCAAAACACCGAAGTTCCCCAGACCGAAAACCAATTGCAATTGTCAAAATGGGGGTTGAGCGATTATTAACACAAGTTTCCCATGGTCAACGAGCGGATCGCGGCTATTTTGATCTGACGAGCCATCGGGTGAGAAGGGTGTGACTTGTGGAGACCATGAGTAGTCTGAATGAATCTCCCTCGGGCCAACCTCAGTCCTATCTGGGTAAAACCTAAAAGGCCGGGACCGCCTATTTCCCCTTTTGACAGAGGGCTGGGGTGAGTCATTCTCCAGGAGGAGCGTGGTTCACCAGGACCAACAAAGAAGCATTTAGCTGTTTCATACCAAATAGGAAATCCATCAGCCATGAATTTAAATGACAGCCCATTCCTCCAGGATGTGTTCAGATGCCTTCATAGCAGTCATTTCTGGTTCAACTCACAAGACCTCGTCACTACATATTGTGCCCTACTTTCCCACTGACGGATGGAGACTAGTGCCCCAAATAGTCTTTTAAAACTTGGGAAAGTAGTTGTGATGCAGTTTACAAGCAAGTTGGAGCTCATTATTCCACAGCATGAAATATTATCCAAAAGAAGAGCAACATTTTTTCCACAAAAAAAACTGTCCAGATGACCTGATTGAACTTCTGTTGGATTGTTTACCTGGATTATTGCGCATGAACTTTGATGTTTTGAACCACTTTGGCTATGGCTGCCTCAGAATAGTCGACAGGGGAGAGGGCGGTCCTCAGCAACCATCTTATCACCAGCAAACTGGTTGGTCCACAATGGGAGTGTGCTGCTTGTGGGACTGAGTTTGTTTGTGGCTCCTTGAATTGATGAAGTCCTTTGGATGAAGGGCGAAACGTCTCAACAAAATAAACCTTCCAGATGACCTGACTGAACTTTGCTGGATTTTTTACCTGGATTATTGAGCATGAACTTTGATATTTGGAGCAGTCACAAATCTAAGTTATTGTGTAGCAAAATTCAACCTGAGGTCAGAAATTACACAAAAATGTATTTGTATTACAAGATTGATTATGACGAATAGAATTATATATATATATATATATATATATATATATATATATATATAAAAAGTTGTATGGCTTACTTAGAAGAGTTACTATAAAAACACCACTTGTTTTTAAAATGAACGTAGTGGCTCAGGTTAGGTTTAAAACTCTGATTTTGAACAAATTGCAAGACTTGTGAGACCAAAGGGAGGACCACATAATGCACAGTACCATGTTTGGTTAAACCCAAGCACAGTGAAGAGGCACAAACCTCTTATTAACTGTTATGCACCGAGTTGTTTTAGGCTTATTTTGCAGCCACAGGACCGTTCGATTGACCAACTTCTCTGTATATCATAATATGCCACCGTTTAATGTGAGTATCAAGGTGTTGTGACGGTGCAGTCACAAAAGACGATTGTCTCAAACCACTGCCACTAAAAAAAGGATGCAGGAATTAGAATCCTGGTGTGTTCTATATTTTACTAGCCTCCTTTTAAAATATGACTTTGTTTATGTTTGTAATGATATGGTATCCTTTTCATTACCTGCCGCCAAAGGTGAATTATTACTGTTGTGCATGTGTGTTCATTTGTCTGCACTGTTTGCAGAATCTCTCACGAATCACAGAATCGATTTTAATGAAGCTTTAAGAAAGTAATCATTAACTGATTAACTTAATTCAAAATGGCTGCCACAGCTAATTGATCTTAGCAAACACAAGAATGGCTGTAATTTAGTGAGTTAAACTGATGTAGAAGTAGCTGAGAGCCATTCACATATGTGAGATTTGGTAATTGCATTACACTGCACATAATAGAATCAAGGTTTAACCAAAACACCTATAGTTTATAAATGATGTAGTTTTATTTTATTTTAAACCTAGTGAGAAACAGATGATTATTTTGTCTCGATACATAAAACAGAGAAAGTAAAACAGGAAGTACCGTATTTTTCTGATTATAAGGCACACTTAAATTCCTTTAATTTTCTCAAAAATTGACAGTGAGCCTTATAATCAGGTGAGCCTTACAGTGCCTTGCAAAAGTATTCAGCCCCTCTTGAACTTTTCAACCTTTTGCCACATTTCAGGCTTGAAACAAAAATATCAAATTTACATTTTTTGTAAAGAATCAACAACAAGTGGGACACAATCGTGAAGTGCAATGAAATTTATTGGATGTGTCAAACTTTTTAACAAATAAAAAAACTGAAAAGTGGGGCGTGAAATATGATTCGGCCCCTTTACTTTCAGTGCAGCAAACTCACTCCAGAAGTTCAGTGAGGATCTATGAATGATCCAATGTTGTCCCAAATGACTGATGATGATAAATAGAATCCACCTGTGTGTAATCAAGTCTTTGTATAAATGCACCTGCTCTGTGATAGTCTCAGTGTTCTTTTCAAAGTGCAGAGAGCATCATGAAGACCAAGGAACACACCAGGCAGGTCCGAGATACTGTTGTGGAGAAGTTTAAAGCCGGATTTGGATACAAAAAGATTTCCCAAGCTTTAAACATCCCAAGAATACCTGTGCAAGCAATCATATTGAAATGGAAGGAGTATCAGACCACTGCAAATCTACCAAGACCCGGCCGTCCCTCTAAACTTTCATCTCGAACAAGGAGAAGACTGATCAGAGATGCAGCCAAGAGGCCCATGATCACTCTGGATGAACTGCAGAGATCTACAGCTGAGGTGGGAGAGTCTGTCCATAGGACAACAATCAGTCGTACACTGCACACATCTGGCCTTTATGGAAGAGTGGCAAGAAGAAAGACATTTCTCAAAGATATCCATAAAAAGTGTAGTTTAAAGTTTGCCACAAGCACCTGGGAGACACCAAACATGTGGAAGAAGGTGCTCTGGTCACATGAAACCAAAATCAAACTGTTTGGACACATTGCAAAACGATATGTTTGGCGTAAAAGCAACACAGCTCATCACCCTGAACACACCATCCCCACTGTCAAACATGGTGGTGGCAGCATCATGGTTTGGGCCTACTTTTCATCAGCAGCGACAGGGAAGATGGTCATAATTGATGGGAAGATGGATGGGGCCAAATACAGGACCATTCTGGAAGAAAACTTGTTTGAGTCTGCAAGAGACCTGAGACTGGGACGGAGATTTATCTTCCAACAAGACAATGATCCAAAACATAAAGCCAAATCTACAATGGAATGGTTCACAAATAAACGTATCCAGGTGTTGGAATGGCCAAGTCAAAGTCCAGACCTGAATACAATCGAGAATCTGTGGAAAGAGCTGGACTGCTGTTCACAAACGCTCTCCATCCAACCTCACTGAGCTCGAGCTGTTTTGTAGGAAGAATGGGCAGAACTTCAGTCTCTCCATGTGCAAAACTGACAGAGACGTACCCCAAGAGACTTGCAGCTGGAACTGCAGCAACAGGCGGCGCTACAAAGTATTAACGCAAGTGGGCGAATAATATTGCATGCCCCACTTTTCAGTTTTTTATTTGTTAAAAAAGTTTGACACATCCAATAAATTTCATTCCACTTCATGATTGTGTCCCACTTGTTGTTGATTCTTCCCCAAAAATTTAAATTTTATATCTTTATGTTTGAAGCCTGAAATGTGGCAAAAGGTTGAAAAGTTCAAGGGGGCCGAATACTTTCGCAAGACACTGTATATATTAATTCTGGTTGTGCTTACTGACCTCAAATCAATTTCATGGGGTTATTGTGAATAGAGCTGTCATTTCTAACCCTAACCTAGAGCCCAGACCCGACCAAAACAGGTGAGATCACAAAATATCCAACATGTCAGAGCGGGGTCGAATGGCAGAAGCAAGAGAAGCATCTAATGCGATTTGACAACTCCTCAGCTCCCATCTTCTGCCCCCATTACTCAGTCACATGCGTCCGTCAATGGTTAATAATAGTGGGTGGAATAGGCAGTCAAAGCTTAATATAAAATGGGGGGTCTGATTCGGACCTGTAATTACTATTAATTCATCGGATTAGGTGGGGTTCAGAAATGATGGCTGTGGGCTGGGGCAGGGTCGGATTCTTTGGACCCGAGTGCAACTCTGTGAAGGAGTTGAATAATAAAGTTTAACTTATCTGACTGTTTTGTTTCACTTAATGCACTTATAATCTGGTGCGCCTTATTGTCCGAAAAATACGGTAGCTACATTAAGGGTGCATCACATCAGCCCTGTTTAGTCCGCTTTAATCGAACTCTAGTCCGTTGGCCTAGAAAGTCCGGTTCATTTGGGGGAGGTGTGAATGCACAATCAAACTCTGATACGGACCAAAAAAGCGAACTCTGGTCCGCCTAAAAACCTAGGTCTCGGTTCGGTTGAAGCTCTGGCGTGGTTTGAATGCATTGTGAATGCAAGCGGACCGGAGACCGCTCAAAAAGCAGGAAGTGGTATACAGCGCAGGGCAAACAAACGCGCATTTCTCTTACCTCATACGAAGCTGTCAGCCACCTTGTGTGAAAAACATTCTCCATGGTCTTCTTTCTCATCTTCCACTCATGCTGAGTCCATTGTTGAAAAATGACAAAACAGAAATCCTAAAACCGCTAAAATTTGACGTCACTCCGTTTTTGTTTTTATTTCCAGAAGAAGAAGAAGAAGAAGTGTCTTCTTCAGAGGTTTTTGTGCCGTTTCCCATAGTTCTTGGTGCAGCGCCACCACAGGCGAGGGGGGAACAGGTTGGTTCGACTGAGTCAGTACAGTGTGAACGCAAACCGCACCAGCTGAAAATGTAAACTAATGTTCTGAATATTGGTCCCCAGTCGAACGGAGTCTACTGTGGAAACAACCTTAAAGCTTCTTGTTGTCTTATGAGGAGATAAAGCATATACGTTGGGCATTTGAGTGTTGTTCAGTATAGTTTTGTTTAAATAGTAGTGATTTTCTCATACAAAAATAAACAGCTTATATTAGATGTGAGCATTTGATGATGTTTTAACATTAAACAGACCAAATAATTACTCAAGTGTAATTATAAAGAATAAATTAATTTATTAAGAAACATATTGATAGGCTCAGTTTAAGTATGATGCTGCAGGTGGTTGTTTGTGTACTTCAGCAGATGTCGTGCTCTACTCTCACAGTAATCTGGCCGAAGAAAAACGTGGCCTGCTGCTCCTTCGTCAGAGCAGAGAAGGGAAGTCTGCTTCTCTCGTGAGGCCGAGATGGGACCTGCAGACTGTGTTCCCTCCCACTGCCAGACTCTGGCCGCACAGAGGAAGAAGAGGTGTTATCAGGGCAACAGATTTTACACACGTGCACCTCAGAGCGACGCTCAATGCCAGCACTAATGGTAAAGATGGAGGAGGAATACTTTGCATGCTCACAGGTTAAACTTTCGGTGCTGGAAGCTGGACTGGGATGTGCAGAAGTCAGAGTGCAAGGGTCGCTGTTCCTGAGCTCATCTCCCTCTGCGCTGACTTCATCCTTCCTGCCCAGCACACTCCCTAAACTGGCTCTTGCTCTGTGCCCAAGTCCCCAAAGGGCACTTTGGAAACGTTTACTCAGCAGAGCATACAGGAGAGGATTGATGTCAGAGTTCAGCAGCATCAGCCAGTAAGAGATGGTGATGGCAGAGCCTGGGATGAGGCTAGGTTGGCCTTTAACTGCAGATTCAGTGGCCTGAACAAGAGCAATGCTTATGTGGGGTGTCCAGAAGATGAGGAAAGCTGTGATGATCAGAAGAAGGCGCAGCACTCCGTGATGATGGTTCTGAACAGGCGGCTGCGAGCTGCTCTGAGCCAGAAAGGGAAACAAACGTCTGGGTGCAATGTTGCTTTGTTGTGTGGGTCCTTCATGAAGAGCATGGTTAACATTTGCTGCATCTGAGCTGAACCGAGATGTAAACTCTCCATTCATGTGACAGATAAGTCTCGAGGGACTCCTACAGTTCTGGTGAGATGAATCACTTTGATTGCAGGCAGGACAGGAGTTGTTGCGGCGCTGGACAGAGTCCTCCAGGGTATGAATCCTCCTGGCGTGGCTGTGGGCCACCTTCACAATGTTCACATAGCAGAAGAGGATCACCACTGCAGGTATGAGGTAGCAAAGAATAGTCATAAAGACCGTGTAGCTGGGACTGCTGGCCCAGTTGGTTGCACAGTTGTACATCGGAACCACATAGATGATTGAGCTCCAGCCCAGCAGTGGAGGAATACAAGTGGCCAGGGCCTGCAGCCAGATCCACAGGACGACAGCGCAAGTCCTCCACAGGGTGCACCGGGAGCTGTAACGCAGGCAGTCCATGATGGAAAAGTAGCGGTCGAGAGCAATAGCAGCTAGTGTCAGAACAGAAGCTGTGCAGAACACGGAGGAGGTGTAACCAACATACAGACAGAGCACCTAACAGACAGGAGACAGAATCTCACCACAGGGACAGAAAATGTCAGCATCAAACTAAAACACGTCATCCAGAAGACACTTACAGCGCACTGCGCCCATCCGTGGTCGACGATGGACATGGCAACAAAAGGCATCACTCCGATCCCCACCAGGAGGTCACTGACGGCCAAGTTCATGATCAGCACAGACGTCACTACATGGAGGCTCCTGGTGGCGGCCACAATAACAAGGACGAGACAATTACCTGCACACAAACACAAGCAATGACTCAGCAGTTTAAATGACTCGATTATAAAAGAACATTTTTCAGATGTTACCCATCACGCAACTACGTTGAGAGGAATGTAGCTTAATCGATTCAATGATTTACTTTAACGTTTATTAAAATGTAGGGATTTTCCCCTAAAATCTAGTTTAATCAATGCTCCATAAAATAACAGTTAAAACAATAATTTCTTTATCTTATTAAATGTAGGCCTGGTTACAGCTCCTGAGACCTCAGAGAGACTTTTATTCTGGCCAACATAAACCTTTTGTGCACATGGAGCATAAAAGGTTTAAGCATTGCAGTCTTCTTTCATTTAAGATGACTTTCCTAAGGACAAGTGGAAAAAAACAAAGAAACGTCTGCTATTTACTTAGTTTTGCCTGGTTTGATAGAATTATTGATTAATTGGCTTGTAGGTTTGTTTGCTGGACGACAGAGTCAAGTGGTGACAGAAGTGCAAACAGAAGATGTAATTTTCCACAATAAAATACCCTGTTGACCAATGTGTATCAAAAAAACAGTATTGACTTTTTAATTTTATTTTAAGAAAAGCTTCTTTTCTTTTTTCTATAAAGCCCAGTACCAAATTACAGGTACTGGTCCTCAACCTGGTGATATGGGACCCGCCTTTTCATATATTTATTTACTTAATATAAAGTGTAAAAAATTGATTTTCATACTATAGATTTTTTTATTGTAAAAACAACATATACATATTTATATACACACACCCCCACACACACACACACACACATCTATATATATATATATATATATATATATATATATA